AACCAACCTTGAATCCCTCGTACTGACCCCTTACGTCCATCATGACATATATGCGGACATTCGCAGTTGCGCCACTGGTCTAATTCGACAAAGGAAACATCATCAAACCCTACCGACCAAAGAGGAAAAGGCGCTGCGATCGATGAGGACAGATGCCAAAGGCAGAACTGTATTACCGACAAAGGCAAGGGAGACTAGAACGGCCGTTTCTGGCATATTAGCCGTCGTCATCCAGCCATACCCAAGCCCGAAGTGTGGAACACCTGATCCTCGAAATCGCGACCTGTTGGTTGAGACGTCCACGCCTCTACCCACCTCGGCCACGAGCCAGCCTCCCTTGTCTTTGTCGGTAATTGCATTCTGCCTATATATCATGCGCCGCTGTGCGGCTGCTGGTTGGGCTCGAGAGAGAGAGAGCCCGTAAGGCACAACGGATCGAGTGAGTTCCGTATGAACGGTCGGTGCGCCTCCCCCTATTATTGTATATTCCCGATCGAAAACCGACAGGACAACGGGATCGTGGCCCGGTGGGTAGAGGTGTGGACATCTAAACTAACAGGTCGCGATTTCGAGGATCGGGTGTTCCACACTTCGGGCTTGGGTATGGCTGGCTGACGACGGCTAATAAGCAAGAAATCGTCATTCCAGTCTCCCTTGTCTTTGTCGGTATTACTATTCTGCCTCTATATATATATATATGTAGCTCAGAGGGGGTATGCATTCCGAGGCGATATAATGAAAAATAGAAGAGGTTCTTCAGAAAAGTCGAGTTGTACTCGTAGATTTTTGAGCTGGTGACACCAACCCGTCGTCAGACGTAATGAAAAACGAGGGAGAAAGTTATGCTGTCACAGTAGACCGGTTAGTGTGATATGACAGAACAGACCATTGACGTGCGAGGGCGGGTGGGGTGGGCTCCGGAGGTCATGGTAGGTCCCTGAGTGAGGGGCGGGGAAGGAAGAGGAGGCGGAACAATTACGGCGCACCGTGCTGGAGGGGGAGGATGGGTGGTGAATCAGTTGGAATGCGGGCGGCTGTATTCGCAGTCGCTGATGCGTGATTAGGGCAGGGGGCAGTCATTCGTGAACGTAGACCCTCGTAATGGGCCCTCTTCTTCTCTCGCTCGCTGTTCACCTTACTCGAGATCCAGCTCTGCAAGTTTCTTAAGGGTCCCATCTCGAGGTATGATGCACATGCTGTCTTTCCCCGCCTAGGGGAAGTTTCAGTACGGAGTATGGAATGGGAAGATCGTTGCACTTGTCGATGCACTGGGGGGCCAGTAAACCATGATTCCAGTAGCTCCCGGCTCACTCGGTTGTCACCTCTTGCGAGAATTTCGGCCTCATCAAATTTGAATGTGTTGCCGGATCTCGTCGAATGAGCTGAATCTTGAGAGCTGGCGTCATTTCTGCGCACCGCTGCCGCGTGTTCGGCCATTCTCGTTCGGAGCTGTCTTCCGGTTTCTCCGACGTAGTTGCTTTGTCCGCAACTGCATCAGATCCGATAAACGACTCCAGACGTTTCTACCCGTGGCAGTGGGTCTTTCGGTTTCATGATCAGACGCCTGATGGTTGCCTCCGGTCCGTGTGCCACTCCAACCCCAAGTGGTGTGAGAAGGCGGCCAACAGCTTCCGAAAAGTTCTTGACATACGAAAATGCCCGCCAAGACTTGGTGCCCGTGCGGTTAGGCCTTTCGTCCCTTTTGCGTATGCACCGGTCGACGAAGTTGCGCGGGTAGCCATTGTCTTTGAAGACCCGTCGAAAGATTTGCATTTTTTATGCAATTTTGTCTTCCGGCTCACTGCAATGCGTTTCGACACGCCGATAGAGCGTCCTTACACAACTGCGTTTGTGGCTGATTGGGTGGTTACTGTTGAAGTTCAGTACTTGCATCGCATTTGTCGCTTTCCTTAAAATGTTGGTCTATAGTCCACCATAATCCTTGCGGCATACGAGGACATCTAGGAAGGTCAGTTGGTTGTTCGCTTCCTCCTCCATCGTAAATTATGTCGGAAAAATCGGAAGACAGCTCCGAACGAGAATGGCCGAACACGCGGCAGCGGTGCGCAGAAATGACGCCAGCTCTCAAGATTCAGCTCATTCGACGAGATCCGGCCACACATTCAAATTCTATGAGGCCGAAATTCTCGCAAGAGTTGACAACCGAGTGAGCCGGCAGATACTGGAATCATGGTTTACTGGCCCCCCAGTCCATCAACAATTGCAACGATCTTCCCATTCAATACTCCGTACAGAAACTTCGCCTAGGCGGGGTAACAAGCCATGCGGGGAGCGCAGAGGTGAACTTTTTTCCCAACACCGGCGTCGATGCGTCAGATGGTCGAGCAATCATCACGTCAACATCCAACGCACGTGATGAAATTGCAGCAATTATCGACTCGAATGTCGGCCATCAAGCAATGATCACACCAAGTGCGACAATCCCGGATGAAGGAGGGGCCGAGAAAGTTAATAGGTATGCGGTAGCATGGCTACTGCATCCTATAAATACCGCAGCCCCTAGTGCAACAACCATCCGTTTCTGCTCTTTTGGCTCTGATGATGGATTCAAGTAGGAATCCGAAACGTCAGGCTAATAAAGCTCTTGTCCCGGCGATCGTGTCTCCTTCTCCAAGACTACTTCCTGGGACTCGGCTCTTCGCTTCTATTGGCAGAGATTTGGAGGCTAGCATGACCGAAGCCGCACCTGGGCGTGCCGCCAACGCCTGGCTCGGATCCCACACTGTGGTGAAAGTGCCATAAAGGCCACATTAAAAGGAGGCATTGCAGCCTGACTCTCAGACCGCCTCCAGTTAAGGAGGAGGACCAAGTTACCCCGTCAGTTGGCAACCTTCCAAGCCACGGCTTTTAGCGCACCGTGATAGCTTCAAGCAAGTTAGATTGATTATAGTGATGAAAGTGTGCTGAGTCGTCGACCTCGCTCTCCCTTTCCATTCCCACACCCCAGCCGCCGTCCGAGTCGGTCGGCAAACTGGAGTGGGAAATGGGCGCGATGGCTGACACGGTCGACTGACCATGACTGCGTTCGCCACAGCACAACATGGCCCCTATTGACACACAAACACCAGGATTTCACACAATGGGGTTTGAACGTCGTGTCACTCACTTGCGTGAGATGGCCGTGGAAGGTGCTGCTTCAGCTGTTTCCCAACCCGCCAGACCGCCACTCCACTCCACACAGCACACACACACACACACATCGCGACGAACTGCGTGAACCGAGAGCGGGCGTCAATCAGCAACCGTCCTATCCACGAGACTTGAAGTGTCGGGATAGTCTCGGACTCATATCACCCGTGCAGCCGAAGCCGCGTGGGGACCGAGTCGAGATGCACACTTCTAACTCGCGTGGAAGGTGGCAGTTGGTGCATGCGGTAGTTGAGTGCTGATGTGTGTTGGTGATGGTGGAGGAGGGTAGGGAGTGTGTGGATGTGTGGTGTAACCGGCGGTTGTCTACCGCAGGTCGTCGTGTTTGCGCATGTGGCCGAATAGACCCATGCGATGCGTGTAGGTGCGAGGGCAGTGTGGGCAGTGGAGGCGAGTGCGGTGGGTGTAGATTGGTGCACCAGGCACTGGTTCGCCGGTCTCTGTGCGACGAATTCGCAAGTGACCTACCAGGCCGATACGTGAGGTGAAGGTGCGATCACAGTGAGGACAGGTGTAGT